CCAATGGGGTCCAGTGGAGATCTGTTCTTGGTCCTACCCTATTTAACATTTTTAACAAGCAAACAATATGTTTTATAACATGGTGAAATGTAAACCTGTACATCTAGGAACAAAGAATGTAGGCCATACTTACAGGATGGAGGACTCTATTTTAGGAAGCAGTGACCCTGAAAAAGATTTGGGGTAATGGAGGATACTCAGCTAAACATGAGTGCTCACTGTGATGCTGTGGCCAGAAGGGCTGATGCGATCCTTGGATGCATAAACAGGGGAATTTTGGGGAGGAATGAGGTTATTTTTACCTCTATATTTGGCACTGGTGTGACTGCTGCTGGAATATTGTTTCTAGTTCCGGTGTCAAAAATTCAAGAAGGATGTTGAAAAACTGGAGAGGATTCAGAAAAGATCCACGAGAATGATTAAAGGATTAGAAAACATGCCTTATAGTGATAAGCTAAATAGATTGAGCTCCTTGAGTCTAACAAAGAGATGGTTAAGGAGTGACTTGCTTAGCCTATAAGTACCTCCCTGGGGAACAAATATTAAATAATGAGTTCTTCAAGCTAGCTGAGAAATTTTATAACACAATCAATGGCTAGAAGTTGAACCTACACAAATTCAGACGGGAAATAAGGCATACATTTTTGATGGTGTGAGTAATTAACTTGGAACAATTTACCAAGGGTCATGGTGGATTCTCCATCACTGAATTTTTAAATCAAAATTGGATGTTTTTCTAAGAGTCGTTCTAGAAATTGTTTTAGGAAAGTTCTATGGCCTGTGTTTATATGGATTCAGACTACATGATCCTAATGGTTCCTTCTGGCCTTGGAATCTATATAGTCTTGCTTCTCCACATAAACTGCATGGGAATAGAAAGATTGTCAGGTTAATAAATCAGAAGGCTTTCCAGGGGAAGGATGTAATGTCAGCTTATGCTTGTGGGGTTTTTTTGTTTTGTTTTTTTAAAAAGACCAATGAAAGGAGGATCAACAAGCACCAAAAATAAGTGAAATTTATCAATTGAAATAACCACAAACAAAACTTTAGAGATGGTATAAGGAATAGTCCCCAGCAGACTCTAATAGTGGAAAGTTGAGTCTAGTAAGAGTTATGCTTAAGTCTGCTGAGGTGGAGGAATTCCATACCCAAGCATAAAGATAAGTCACCCCCTTAAGGAATCATTTAAGCGTAGAAAGTACAGAAATTGAAGATCTTTTAATTGGATGGGGGTGATGGGTGAACTTCTACTCACCAAATGAGCCTAAATCATTGCAACAGATAAACTATACATCTTTAGAGGTATTAAATGATCCAGGATAAATTGAATGGAGCATAGCTGAGAGGCTACATTTTGCATATAGCTCACCTAGAAAAATGTTTCCATTTTAAGTTCAGAACAAATTACTATCAAATTATGAACTCAAAATGACACACAAAAAAAAAGTTACTTCACTACCAATGAGGACTGAAGAGAAGTAAAGGTGAATCTTTTTTCTCTAAAGAACCTAAAGTTTCTTTAGTTCCCTTTTCAATTTGTCAGTTTTAATTGAACCATGAAAGAAAACATTGTTTATCTGGAAATATTTAGTCTAAAGTGAGTTTTTCCTTTCTTACCTGACAATTTAGTAGCTCAGGTTCTATGTTTAGACAGCAAGAATATCCACTCAAACTAAAGCAGAGCTTCCAATTCAATTCTACACTGTTAAGCACTCAGATACAGAGTTGATGAGCACAGTATAAAAAAAAAATTTAGTCAGGTCATAAATCGTGACAAGAGAAACACAGAATCCTGAGTGCTGACCTTGGATGTAAGATTATTTTTACCTAATGAACATTTTTACAAGGACAACTTGCAGGGAAAAAACAACATCTCTCAGTTTCTTATTTGGTTATTAAGCTTGTCATTCACAAGGTTTTGGCTGTTTTATATTAGAAATACCAGTGTAACCAATCTGTTTTGCCTGACTGAAAATAAATACGTATTTGTGGTGTATATGGTAGCTTTAAAGATTCTCAGTATTCTTTTCAGACAGCCTGTTGATCTTCCTATAGTACACTCTGCAAGAAAGTAGGAGCAATCATCAAACAAACTGCTGTCTATGGGTCCTGATTCTGTTACCTTTACTTATACCAAGTATTATCATACTCCATAAACAATCCTGTTGAGAGCAAGGTACTGAACTTGAATAGGATGTCAGCATCGAGCACTACATTTGTTCAAATCTGAAGAGAATCATACGATGAACCAGAAAACTGTATTCATGGAGGCTGACTTCAATGTGGTTGGAATTGAAATCTCTAGTCAACAACAGCAGTATTTTTTGGACTGGGATTTGCTATGTAATATTGTTCCAAACTGGTACAAAATTGGGACTTTTCCCATTTACCTTCACAGGCTCAGCAACTTGTTCTAGAACTGTCCTAGAATTCTAGAATTTTACAATTGTGTTTGAATCCTATTGACCCACAACATCATGTTAATACCACCTAGCTCTTACTTAGTGCTTTTTATCCATAGATATCAAAATGCTTTCTACTGGGGATGAGTCTCATTACCCCCATTTTACAGAAGGAGAAACTGAAAGATACATAAAACTAACCAATTGTAATTAATGTTCCCCCCACCATCCACATTCATTGTGCTGGGAGATTTGAAGCCCAGAGAAAAATTCTTTTGAATTCAAATAATTTGTACCAAAGTGGATTCTATTCCCAGATGTATCTGCTCTCACTTTAGAAGGAGTTGGGAGGACAACGTGGAACTCTATGACTATGAATTGGTCACAGAGGTCATGTATTCTGTGATTTTAAGAGATCTGTGACTTCTTTGGCGCCGACTGTCGGCACTGGGCATGTTACTGTTTATTACACAGCACTGACACACTTCCCATACAGGACACAGGCTATGTCTACGTTACTGCAGTAAGGCGACCTATGCTACGCAACTCCAGCTACATGAACAACGTAGCTGGAGTCGACATACCTTAGGTCGAATTACCAAGGGGGGGGGGGGGTCGAACTGAAGAGCGATCTGCTGTCAATTTGGCGGGTCTTCACTAGACCCGCTAAATCGACCGCTGGTGGATCGATCTCAGAGCGTCAATCCCAGCTGTAGTGTAGATGTAACCACAAACATTCTCATCACCTCTTCTCATCCCAGAGAGGTCACTTCATGCTCAGGCACGTAAGCTTCATAAGCACAGAACTACAGAGACTGCATTTGAACCTTTCCATGACAGCATTCATTGTTCTCAAATTCCTTGTGTGTCTGCATTTCAGTATCACCTGCCACTCTTGTGCTCTTATTGGGGTAAAAACCTGCCTTCTACCCCTTCCCACAGAGGTTCTTATGTTCAGAGAATCCACTGTGGTTGTGCTGCACTGGGGAGTAGTTTTGGAGATGATGCACTAATGGCTCAGCTCAGAAGATGACTCAGCTCCTCTTATAAATGAACAAGCATTTCTTCAAGTGGCATCTGTGTGTTTGGAAGGGAGGGGGACAGTAGGAGCAAGGGTATTGCTGGCCAGAGTGCATGAATGTAGGGGGTAGGGATAGCTCAGTGGTTTGAGCATTGCCCTGCTAAACCCAGGGTTGTGAGTTCAATCCTTAAGGGGGCCATTTATGGGCAAAAAATGGGGCAAAAAATATAGTTGGGGATTGGTCCTACTTTGAGCAGGGGGTTGGACTAGATGACCTCCTGAGGTCCCTTCCAACCCTATGATTCTATTAATGTGGCTTTCACTACACAGATCAACTGGCCAAACCTCTGTGGAAGGGGAAGTACAAGGGACACAGCTGCTACTGCTGCCCTGAAAACATGGACTGGAACATCCAATGAACTGTTGCATTGTTACTACTTGAAAATTTAAAAAAATGAAACAAAAAAGCCATTTTAAAAATTAAACTAGTTAAACATTGTGTACACCCAGCAGATTCCTATTGATAAAAAAGTGCATCTTAATAAATGCTCTCCATGTTGGAGCATCTTTTCACATTAGACAAGACACAAAATGCTTTGCTTTATCTTATGATGCTTATTCTTCCTCAAACTACTCTCACAACTGCTCTCTAACATGAAAAGCTATGTTCTTAGGAAAAGTCAGTACAATATGTTATAAGATGAAAGGGAAAATGATCCAAGGTACTTTGAAGTAACACATAGCACTGGTTTCTTAGGTTTAAAGTTGTCAGTTCAAAGACATCAGTGGAAGGGTATTACCAAGTGGCAATACTTGGTCATTAGCATCAGAGAAAAATCTCATATTCTCATGGATGTAAGTGTAAAGGAGTCTTTTATTTTGGTGTCATTTGCTAGTATCTTCACTTCTTAAGAGAAGAACATATAATCTCATCGTATGTATTTGAAAAAAATTGAAAATACTTGTTGTTAATGCGGACTACATCTTAATAGAGTGTGCTTTGTGGACCACCTCCCCTCCCATTCCATATTGCAAAATATCCCTATGGAAACTATGGCATTCACCCTCAGGAAAACAAAAACTATTTATGTATTTTTAGTTCTTTGTTGTGATTTAGCAACCACCAGCACCATGTAGCCAGCCAGCTTTCCACAAACCATCAGGAGTGCTCCACAGACAGTGGTTTTGGGATCGCCTGTTAGTAGAACTCCCTCCTTAGCTTATTTTCTAACTATTACTCAAGGTAGATTTAAGCTAAAGAAAGATATAAGGCTGACAGTTCTTTAAAAATGTCAAAATTCCCTAAAAACTTACGACTAGACAAACAATGCTAAAGGCTTTAACTACATCACAACACTTATGTTTTGAACTCCAGAATAGCAGATATTTAAAAGAACCCGTTATCACTAGTTTTTTTTCTTAAAGTAACCAAGTTTGCATATTATATCAGACAGTGCAGTTCAAATTATGCAATCACCAGATACTTTTATCTGAGTATCTATTTATGTTATGAAAATTCTCTTTATACTCAAACAGAAAAACATTTCCCCACACCACCACCACTCCCCACACACTACCTGGAGTCTTAGGGTGATTGATGACTTCATCCATTAAACTTGAAAATCTGTCATGTGCTGTCAGTTCTGCAGCAGGCTCAGACTGCCTCAGGACACACGGTTCAAACTTTGGAGTCACTATGGCATAACGAAGCAGCTCTTCATATTCATCCTGTCACAACAGGATGATAAATAATTATACAGCTACTGTCATCGTTTTTAAAACGCAAACACAGGAAGAAAGGAATGAAAATGGATATGTTAGCTTTTAAATGAGAGTTTTGTATCACATGGCAGAATAATAATTTTACTTATGTTTTCATGGCTCAGCTGTTTCCCTTCAATTTAATAGGCAGAGTTAATGATTTAGCTCCCTTTTATTTCCTATTTTAGAAAGCCCATACTGTATTCTAGTTAATGCATTATAATGGCCACACAGTACACATTCTAAATAATCCTTTCTAGCTGAACTAAAATTACAGATCTTATAGGAAGCACTCTAAATTCCTTTAAAAACAGCATAAGAGTTGGACAAATATTTCTTCAAATCACTTACAGTAAGTTATCAGATGGCCTACTACTGCTTTTGTGCATCATTCTTATTGTATATGAAGAAATATAGTTTTATTCCTATCACAGAGGTGCCAATGAGGAGTAAATCAGGTTTCAATGTTTGTACAATGAGAATATATTTGGGAGGAATTAAAAATATGAGATTTGGTTGTTTAATATCTTCCCGTCTAAATTTGATTTGAATATTCTCACCTACTTTAAAATATTTAACTTTTGTTGCATGTTACATTTATACCTTATTAGAAAAACAAAGACCAATCTAGCTTCCCACCACCATCATAAACTCCAGAACTTGGACTGTATAATTTTCAACGTGTGTTATTGTAGCATACCGGAAATGGGTTTTATCACTTTTTACATAGTATGCAAGCACCTCTAGTGAAACTGTGTTCAGAAATCTGCTATGTATTATAGCAACCCTGCAACACCACTATAGTTGAGGTCGCATCACAACTCCTGTTTAAAGGTTGAGCTTTCTGAGTCCTCTAACAATGAAATGCTAAATTGGATTCCCTTGAAATTTGCTGTGACCGGAGTACAGGGAGATGTCAAGGAAATGACAGCCCAACCAACAGTTCAAAGCTGTTAGTAAACTAACATCATCACTATTTACTCCTACTGTCCCTTCTGTTTTAGAATATCAAGGCACTACACAATACAAATGATAAATCAAGTTTCATAGCAACCCTGCATGGTGAGTTGGGCAAGGATTAATTTGACCAAGGTTAATGCATCTGCTCAAAATCAGACAGCAAGAAGGTAGCAAAACACACAGATGCAACACAGATGTTTTCATTTCCAGTCACATGGTTTGGCCACACTCTTCTTCTCCTCACTGTTATGCTGCTTAATATGTACATCCCGAGCACTCAAAATAGTCATACCAAACCCAAGGGAAAAGTAGAGTATATAGACAGTCCTCTGAAGTCCTCATTTCTCTCAGTAAGACCCCATTAATTACTTGCAAGAACACATGACAGTATATCCAAACTGATCCAACATGTAATATCACAGAAGTATCTAAAACAGTCACCAAATTTATGGCATAGAACTTTGCCATAGAAAGTTACAGGGCAATGCTGACAGAAAGGAAGTTTGTATTATTTTTTAAATTGAAACAAGCAAAGAGCAAACTATGAGATTTAATGTGGACTATGAACATTTTAAGTGATTTAACCAAAAGGAGAAGCCTCTATCCTATTCAAAAAATCAAAAAAAAAAAAACCCCAACCCTGTCACTGAAGTGCAGAGGTGGCCAACAAATGTGAAATGTGTGTGTATATATATTTAAAAAAAAAAAAAGCCCAAATGGTTTAATGTTCACATGGATACAAAACGTTATTCCCCCCCCCCCCCGTCCCCCTAAATATCACTCCAAAACTATTTCAGTGCTGCACATCAACTAAAAAATCCCACTGGAGCATAAAATTGGCTTCTAGAGGTAAAGTGCTGGAAACTGGAGGTCAGACAGGTTGGGACTATTTAGCCTAGTTTTGCAATATTAAAACATTAATATATCTGAGAACACAATAGGCCCATTATTCTATGAGATGGGAAAAACCTATAACAGACAACTCAGCAATAGCTGAATATTAAATGACTCCCCCCCCCCTTCCCAGCTTTTACCAAAAAGGTTAGCATGATCGGATGACAAATGTAGTGAACATCAGTGTAAATGGGTAGGATCTAAGGCTAAAAGAGGGAAAGAACAAGTTAAGTTTACTTAGACAAGCTAGATGTTTTCAAGTCAACAGAGCCTGATGGAATACATCCTAGAATACTTAAGAAACTGGCTGAAGAGATCTGAGCCATTAGTGATTATCTTTGAGAACTCATGGAGGATAGGAGAGATACTAGAAGACTGAAAAAGGGCAAATGTAGTACTTATCTATTAAACAAAGGGGAATATAAACCACCCAGGGAATTATCAACCCATCATCTTAACTTCAGTACCCAGAAAGAAATTTGAGCAAATAATTAAATAATCAACTTGTAAGCACCTAGACATAAGGTGATAAGTAACAGTCAGCATGGAGTCATCAAGAACAAATCAAGTCAAACCAATCTAATAGCCTTATTTGACAGGGTAAGAAGCCCTGTGGATGGAGGGAAGCAGTAGATGTGAAACAGTATCAAAGCCTCACTAAAGTTGAGATATATCACATGACCTTCTCATAAGCAAACTAGGGAAATATAGCCTAGACAAACCTACTATAAGGTGGGTGCATAACTGGTTGGAAAACCAAACTCAAAATAGTTATCAGTGCTTCACTGTCAAGCTGGAAGGGCATATCAAGCGGGGTCCTGCAGGGATCTGTCCAGGGCCTGGTTCTATTAAATATCTGCATGTAAAGAGTGCACTTATAAAGTTTGTAGACAAAACCAAGCTGGGAGGGAGTGCAAGCACTTTGGAGGACAGGATTAGAATTCAAAATGATCTTTACAAACTGGAGAAGTGGTCTGAAATAAATAAGATGAAATTCAATACGGACAAATGCAAAGTACTACACTCAGGAAGGAATAATCCATTGCATAACTACAAAGTGGGAAATGACTGCCTAGGAAGGCGTACTGTAGAAAAGGATCTGGGGATTATAGTGTGTCACAAACTAAATATGAGTCAACAATATAATACTGTTTAAAAAAAAAGCAAACATCATTCTGGGATGTATTAGCAGGAGTGTTGTAAGTAAGACAAACATTAATTCTTCCATTCTACTCAGCACTGATAAGGTCTCAACTGGACTAGTGTGTCTAGTTCTGGGCACTACACTTCAGGAAAGATTTGGAGAAAAACCAGAGGAGAGCAACAAAAATTATTATAGGTCTAGAAACCATGACCTAAAAGATAGAAAAAAATGGGTTTGTGTAATCTGGAAAAGAGAAGACTGAGGGGGTACATGGTAACAGTCTTCAAGTATGTAAAAAGCTGTTATAAAGAGAAGAGTGATAAACTGTTCTCCTTATCCATTGAGGACAGGACAAGAAGTAGTGGATTTAAATTACAGCAAAGGATATTTAGGTTAGATAGTAGGAAAATCTTCCTGTCAGGGTACTTAATCATTGGAACAATTTACCTAGAGAGACTGTGGATCTCCATCAGCGGAGATTTTTAAGAGCAGGTTAGACAAACACCTGTCAGGGATGGGCTAGATAATACTTCGTTCCGCCTCAATGCAGAGGACTGAACTAGATGATCTATCCAGATCCCTTCCAGTCCTGTTTCTAGGATTCTAGTGATATAAAATTATTCTGCTCAACTGCCAGGGGGCAAATTTGTAACATACACATGGGAAACATGTAGTGTCAGCTATAGGTTGTCTTAACTCAGGGAGTTCCTTCGAGAGGAAATGTAGCCAAACTCCAAACCTATAGACAATGGAACTCCCTGTGCCTGTATCCTATAGATAACTAACTACTTAGTTTTCAAAATAACAAGGGTGGGGGGCAAGTAAATGAACAATAAGGGGTCATAAGAGGGGCAGATACATGTAGCTTGCTAATTATGTATGGTAATGATGGCAAATTTTGGCCAATCAGAGCGATAGATTATCATAAGCAACTGCATATAATGCTTTGGTTTAAGTGTTTTCTTTGTTCTTGCTGACTTATGAGCTCGAACCCAATTGCAATTGACATAAACGGATCGCCCCTCCCGCGGCTCCTTGCTTGGCTAGCTATGTCCATCTCTCCTTATTCCTCAGCTGGAACGGACAGAAATTTCTATGACACTAGGATTTCAAGATTATTTTTTTAATCAAGACTCTAGTAGTTCTAAGAAAAGCAGCATCAGTATATAGATGTTAAGTATCTCTGTAAATCTGACCCATAGTGACTGTCACACTAGACTAGACTTTGAACCAACCGTAAGGATGATTATGATCTATATGTTGACCTCAGGACCTGCCTGATATTCAGTAACAATTTAATACAGACACAATCCTGTCCATTTTCAGAGCTTGTTATATGGCAATGCCTTTGTCTTATCCTCTGACTTAAGTGTTGGAAATATGGATGAATTGTCCTTGCTGATAGGCTTTCTGATGGTGGATTCAACAAGAGGCATAGCTATATATATTACTTACACACACACACACACACACACACACACACACTACTATATACTATACTTGGGGAAGAAGCACATGCCTTGCAAAGATGAATCCCTTCTAAATCTATAGTTCAAAGGGACAAATGTATAGATGCCCGACAGGTAGAAACCATATCAGCTCAACCTGAGAAAAGGGCTTCAACATTACACACTTGTTCCACTGAGTGACTGAAAGCTAGGATGCCTCTACCAACTGGCAAAACCTTATTTTGTCACTAAAATTAGCCTATTTTGGCTACATTCCTATAAGAGAAAATATCTGTTCAAACTCCATAAAACAATTGTGGTTTCTAGTGGCTTTAAGAAGCAAGAGCTACATTAAGGACCAAGCTTATATTGTAGTCCGATTTCTGATCAGGGAATGAGGTGCCATTAGATTGCATTAACTAATGTTTAAAACTTAAACAGGACCTTTCACCTTTAAAGTGCTTTACAAACCTCTTCAATAGCACACTGTACCAAATGTAAAGCCAGGGGAGCTCTCTAGCTGACCTGTTTTAAGGTTTCAGAACAATACAGACTCAGCCAAGCAGGAATTTAAGTCTACAAATATTTGAAAATGTTAACTCTGGAGACGGAGCAATACACAGATATATAACTAGAAATAATGGGATTACATTAAGAAAAAGAAAATGTCCTTTCATTATCAGACTCAACTCCCCTGTACTGAGATGTAGCTGACTGTAGAATAGATTCTCAAGGGATGTGATAGAAGATCCATTGTTTGGGACAATTAAAGACAAGTTCGGATATACGGTTTCTGGAACTTAAAGTTTCTGATAGGACACTTGTATTGTAAAATCTTTGTGTGAACAAAGAAGGAAAGGTTAGAGGGGATGAAACCATGTGCCAATTAGAATAGACATAAAATAGTTCTGGTTTTGGGTGGGTACTGAAATCTCCCAAAAGCCAGTCATTTTCAACCTCCTTTTCTGAGAGGGTGGACATGCTTCCTCCCAGATACCATATCAATGAGCAGTCACAAAAAAGGTGGGGGGAGGAAGTATAGTAACACCTGAATGGGCTGACATCTTTAGACCATAGACCTCTGGAGTGAAATCCTGACCCAACAGACATTAATGGCAGTTCTGCTAGACTTCAACGTGCCACAATTTCACCCTGGTCAGCAGTGATGCATCCTCATGCCATCCTGTCCCACAGAAGGTACAGCAGGAAAAAGAGAGGGATTGTAATTTATTTTGTGGTTGAAGGTACATATTTTGAAAATATCTCTATACTAAATAAAGGAGAAAGTTGAATCTTTGTTAGTATTGAGCTCATGTTATAGGTGCTGAAAAGATCGAAAGATTAAGAATACAAAAAAAACCCTCAACCCATTCAAAACATACATTTTCTTTAATGAAAATAATTCTTGTGGATGAAAAAGACTGGTGATGCTGCAAATCCAGGTGAGAGCTCAAACCATTCTCTTCTAAGCTTTCCAAATAATGTTGATCCATCCTCAGCCATGGCTATAACTTAGGATGATTTGAGATTTTTTTGCACAGCTTGTTAGTTTTGTGAGATTTTTAACTCTCTCTATAGCTTTAACAAGCTGCAAACTACATTTTGAATGTAGCAGCTTCTCTGTGCACTTTTGCCTCCATGTTGGCCTACAATTCCAAAGGTAGGTGGCAAAGGGCTAACAAAATAGGGCCACTGACTCAAGTATTTGACCACTCAAATGTAATTGCTCTACCAAAAGACAGGCTCTCAACCTGGAGAACTAGTTTGTCAAGGGAGAGACCCTCCTAGCAACAGGATCAACAGTTGGCACTGGCCAGGAGGTCACATGATAGAGGGGCTAGAAGGTTATAAAAAGACAGGAGCTGATCCCATAACTCTTCAATCACTTTTCACCAGCTCAGGCTGAAAAGATCTGCATGTAGGAGCCTCATAAGGTATGGAGAACCCTGCCTTCCTGAACACAGATGGACCCCAAAGACTCCCAAGGGAAGGATGAGCTAGTGAGCAGCATCTCATTTAGGATGTTAGCGGTTTTCTAAATGATGTGTGCTCTTTGGTTAACAAATAATGCACGAGTGCAATGGTGTTAGAATATTGAGCAAAGTGTCTGTTACATGCCACACCTACCATTTGGCCTGTTGAAGAAGGAAACTGGAAGGCTCAACGATTTGGGCAGAGTTCTGGGAAAGGGTATATTTGAATTACTAGGATATCGTATGGGTCAGTGCTGGTCTTTGGGGCCTGAGGCAAGTGGGATGCAGGACTCCATTTCCATGAAGGGGTAGCAGAAAGTGTACAGGAAGTGTGCCAGAGAGGCTAAGGGAGGAAATAGTGCTCCAGCCGCCTCAGACCCAGGAAAGCATATAGCTGAAATAATAAGAACAACCATCCAAAAGACATGCCAGAGGCAAGGCTAGTCACGAACTAAGCTATGGGGGCAGAGAGGCTTCACTGGGGGAAGAATGCAAATGCAGAAGACTGGGTATTTTGGCGGGCATGGGAGCTGGGCAGACACAGATAAATACCAAAGAAGGATAAGGCAGCAGAAAGGTAAGGACAGCCAGAGAAGTACTTGCAGCATGACACTGGGAAAAAAAAAGCAAAGAGAACTTTCTGGGTAGAGCGCTGGCTGGAAAAAGAGGCTTGGAATATCGAGCAAAGAAACTGCCTTCTGTTTGATTCCTATTGTGTTCAAGGAAATGGGACTATGTACATCTTTGTAAATAAACAGGATTGCACCAAAGAAACTACTAGCATAGTTTTTTCCTCCTAATGTAAACAACATTCAAGATCTTGAATATTGGTTAGCCACTAGAGTCAAAAGGCAGAATGATGCTTTCTATCCTTAATAGCAGTTTTATTGTTTTAATTTGGTAATTCACACCTGTAAGAAAGCAGCACTTTTCTACTTTTGGGATTAATGTGCTGTCTCTTAAGCTTAGTCAAGACACATGCTCCATATATTAATTTTTTTGTGTGCAGTTACATCAAGTTTGAATCTTTACTAAGCAAAAATTAGCAATGTGGTTATTTGCTTATTAAAAACTCAAATTTTGCTTGTATTCTCTATTTTGCTTCCTTCCATTAACATGTTTATTTCTCTATTGTATGCCTAAAATAAATAAAAATTAAAAAAGATGAAAAAAGTTATCCACAGCATTTCTTCACAGTTACACTTTGTCAAATAAAATGCCGTAAAAGAGGTTCAAATGCAATTGCTTCTGTCCTACCTGAAGATCTGAAGAGACAGAACTGCCTCGATCTGAGTCTTTTGGCAAAACTGGACTTGAGCTTTTCTCCTCATCTGATGACATTCTGCACAAATTTCAGAGTAGCAGCCGTGTTAGTCTATAATTCATCCGAAGAAGTGGGCTGTAGTCCACGAAAGCTTATGCTCTAATAAATTTGTTAGTCTCTAAGATGCCACAAGTACTCCTGTTCATTCTGCACAAAGACAATTCTATAAAATAGCAGAAGCTGGACTTCATTTTCTAGTTACAACAAATGATTGTGGCGCTTCCCTAAACAAGGGAGTTGGGTAGGATAGACCCTATGTAGGGACCTGGGACGTGGAGCAGTCAAAGGACTTGAGGCCCAACAGGAAGAAAGGTGCTGACGTCCCTGCTGGAAGGCAGTAGATTTTGTGGGGCGCAGACGAGAATGGGTGAATAAACCAACGATGATTGAGTCAAGTATGAATTTGTGAGCTAGGAGGACTGATTAGAGAGTGTATGACAGGGTGGTATGGTTATCTGGTGTGAAGGTGAGGAACAAGGTATTAGCTGTGTCTGAGCAAAAGAGAACAGGAAAGTTTTGTCTAGAGTACATTCATGCAAGTTGTTTTATAGGCAGGGGAAAGGGTTGTGTATAAAAAACCTACACAGACAACAGAAGAAAGTGGCTGTCTATACTAGTGAAATAAAGTACGAAAAGAAAACTGAAATAGATATTATCTGATAGAAGTATAATTTTTAATTTGCCAGTATTCATTTAAATTTTATCATTAAATTGGCAGAAAGTAACCACCTTTAAGTATCTGTATATCCATTCTGGTTTTCAAAGTGATGAGCAATAGGTAGCGTCTTATTCCCCTAGTTATGTGTAGTAACATGGATGGAAGTTGTGTTTGCACATTAAGAGTGGGGAGACTCCATTACTGGATGATCAATTAGCCTGAGTATCGCTTAAACAGTTTCAGGGTTTATTTGGGGGGGGGGGGTTGTGTGTGTGTGGAGGGGAGGGGGGGGGAGAACAAAAC